TTTTTTTTTTGAGAGATTTTCACTGTAGGGCACGTGCGCTCGCCAGACAGAGAGAGACAGAGAGAGACAGAAAGCGAGAAATCACTGTCCAGGGGGATGGTCACGCCGCAATCCCTTCTCCTCCATTCTCCTCTCGGGATCTTGGGCACGCACACACACGCGCCTGGCGTGAGTTTTAAGCCACCGGGTCCGGGACACGAACCGCGGTCGACTACGTGGGAGTCCAGCGACATAGCCATTACGCTAACTGCTGGTTCCCCCTCCTTGTCTTCTTCATCTTCCTCTTCCACATTTTTCCGGGCAACTTTGGCAGGACCCTTTGCGCCATCAGACTTGCCTTTAGACTTATAGTTGGCAACATCCTTCTCGTACTTCTCCTTCAGCTTTGCAGCCTTGGTGATGTAAGGCTGCTTCTCGCTGTCACTTAAGTTGTTCCACATGTCACCCAGCTTCTTTGCCACATCTCCGATAGAGATGCCAGGGTTGGTGGATTTGATCTTCGGGCGAAATTCTGAAGAGAACAGGAAGAATCCAGACAGTGGTCTTTTGGGGGCATTAGGGTCCTTTTTCTTCTTGCCTCCCTTAGCTGGCCCATAATCCTTCGTTTCCCGGTCATAGCGTACTTTATCCGCCTTTGCCATTTCATCAAATTTCGACTTCTCTTTCCCAGACATTGTCTTCCACCTCTCGGAGCACTTCTTAGAAAATTCAGCAAAATTGACAGGGACCTCCAGGTTTTTCTTCTTATGTTCTTCTCTGCAGGTCTGCACAAAGAAGGCATAAGCAGACATCTTGCCCTTTGGTTTCTTGGGGTCACCTTTAGCCATCCTGACTGTATTGTTCGCTAGTCTGGGCAGCGCAGGGCACGACGCGCAGCTCAGCGCTCCCCAGCCTCACGCTAGCTGCCTCCATGAGAGCCCAGGCATTTTATTATTATTGTGTTAAAAATGATATTTTAAAAGGTTACCAGAAGTCTAACCCATAAATAACGAAGATGTTACTGTTGCGTTACCTTATAAAAAGCATAATTGACTGAGTTACATGGCAAATTGTGCCCACTTAATTATCCTTGCTGGAGTAAACCTAACAGGTGACATAACCTACACAAGCAGTCCTAGGCCAACTTTAACCCATCGCAGATGGCTACCTATAACAGCTGTAGAATACCTGTTAACAGTGCTGACTTCATTCTTTCAATTGCTGGACCTCTAAGACAGACAGATAGATGTCACATGCTGGTGACATGGGGAAGAAGATGCTTACATCTCATTATTGTTATGATCATTTATTTATGTGCATCGAGGTAATCTGAAGAAAGCTTTCTATCTATAATAAAGGGCATTGAGGGGGCCAGCAGGTGGCATGGTGGTTGGGGTACTGGACTCCCAATGGCTGACTGCGGTTCAAGTCCTGGACCTGGCAGCTTGCTTTCTCATTTTCCCTCCCTATCTGTATCAAATTAAAAAGTAATAATAATGATAAGTTAAATAATAATTCTTAAAAAAGGGCATTGTGTACTAAAGAATGAGCATTGTGTTAGAAATCTATTTTAGATTTATTTATTTTTTTAAATTACTTTATTTAACCATATTTATTATTATTAGTATTATTTGTTTTCATTTGACCAGAGAGAGAGAGACAGAGAAAGTGAAAAAGCAAGCTGTCAGGTCTGAGACTCAAACCACAGTCAGCCATGTGGGAGTCTGGCATCTTTAACCACCATACCATCTGCTGGCCCCTAGATTTATTCTAAGATTTATGTTTGTTAAAAGTTATGAACTAATCAGTGTGCCTTTTATTTCAGAGGTGGCCATCCTTACCTCACGGGCTTGGCAGTGGCTGGTGGAGCCTACTACCTGGGCCTGGAAGGAGCAATCATTGGGCCCATTCTTCTATGCATACTTGTGGTTGCTTCCAACATCTACAGCGCCATGCTCGTGAGTCCCACAAACTCGGTGCCCACACCTAGCCAGACGCCCTGGCCTGCTCAGCCTCAGCGGTGAGTTAAAGCAAAGCGCCCATCTGACCTTCATCAACAAGGAATCATACAGTATGCTCTCTTGCGTCAGGCCTCTTTTGCTCAACGTCCAATCTGTGTGATTCCGTTATGTCATTGCTTTCATTTTCCATTGTTTATTGTTCGTTCTTATTTCATTGTTGTCTAGTCTCCCAGCATATGAATATCTGACAATCATATTTATTCATTGTCGTTTTTATCGATTTGGGGGTAGTTTCCAGCTCAGGGCTATTGTGAATGAATTTGTCATGAACTTTCTTACACTCACATGTCTTTTGGTGGGCACAAAGTACTTTGTGTCAGTTGGGTATATACCTGGAGGTGTACTGTCTGGTTATATTGGGTCGTCGGGAAGAAGTGCCACTTGCATTCCTCTGATCATCCACTCTAGTGAAGTGCTGTCCTTTTTACCTGTTCAGCTGTCACCCTGGGGAGTCCCTCAATTGGCTTCTCTGTTGGAATCCTTATTTATTTTATTTATTTGTTTTTATTTTTTATTTATATGATTTTAGTTTTTTTGCTGTGTGATATGTGATTGCCAGAGAGAGAGAGAGAGAAAGAGAGAGAGGTGAGAAATCACTCTTCACGGGGAATGGCCATGCCACAGTCTTGGCATCTTCTTCTTGGGATTTTGGGTGTGCACATTTGCCCAGCATGATTGTCAAGCTGCCAGGTTTGGGACTTGAACCATGGAATTTGCCATGTGGGATCCAGCACCTTTAACCTCTATGCCACTGACTGACCCAGGAATCCTTTGTATTTTTTGTTTGTTTGTTTGTTTTTTTAAGAGATTTTTTGCTATAGGGTGTGTGCATTTGCTGGAGAGACAGAGAGACAGAAAGTGAGAAACCACACCCCCAGTCCTCCCCAGGAGAGATGGCCACACTGCATTCCCTTTTCCTTTATTCTCTTCTCGGGATTTTGGGCATACACATGCATGTCCATGGCAAAGTTTCAAGCAACCAGGTCCAGAACTAAAACCATGGTCAGCCATGTGGGAGTACAGCACCTTAACCACTATGCCAACTGCTGGCCCCAGGAATCCTTATTTTTATACTCCATATCATTTTCTTTGCAGATGACTCTCTTCTGTTGGAGCACATCTTGTCTTTTTTTTTTTTTTTTTTTTTTGAGAAAATACAAAGGAGTTAAATTTTGAAAGATTATACATATCTGAAAAGGTTTTTTCTAATATCATAATTAATCTGTAGTTGAGTTATTTTGTGATTTCCTTTTTTTCCTTTCAGAAACTTATCTTGATAATTTGACCCCTACAGACTAGTCATTTCATTTTCTTGTCTTTTAGGTGTTTTCATTTCTGCTACCTTTTTTTTTTCAGCTGGGCTTATTGAAATGTTTATGTGAAATAAAATGTACCTTTTTAACATAGAGGTACATATTTTCTATGATACATAATAAATTGCACACAGTTAATAGCTGAAAACACTGTATAATTTATTATACAGGAGCCAGCAGGTGGCGCAGTGGTTAAGGTGCTGGACGCCCACATAGCCAACCATGGTTTGAGTCTCTAACCTGGCTGCTTGAAACTCACACTGGGTGTCTGCATGCTCAAAATTCTAGGAGGAAAAGGAATTGAAGTATGGCCATTCCCTTGGGTGGTGATTTCTCAGCTTTCCCTCGCACTGTGTCTGTCACTGCGTGTCTGTCACTGCAGTGAGCACATGTGCCCAATGGCAAAAACCTTAAACAGTTTATTATACAGGTTCTGTGGGTAAAGAGTCCCAGCAACTTGGCTGAGTCTTGTGCTCAGGATCTGACAAGGTTGTCTTTAAGGTGTCAGCCAGGGCCGGGATTCCTCTGTGGCCTGCAGTGTTGTTGACAAACTTCTTTTCTTTTAGCTTGTAGAACTGGGCTTACAGCTCCTGCAGCAGAATATTTTCTGATTCTGTCCCTTCTTTTAGGCAGGTGTTTTTTTTTTTTTTTTTTAAGTTTATGTATTTTTTTCATAAATGAGAGACAGAGAGACAGACACCCCTACAGGATCTCCACACCAAAGTCCCCCCCCACCCCGCCTCAGTGAGCCCAGATAATGGCTACATTCTGCCCTGTGTGTGTGCAGGGAGGTCTCAGGATGTGACCCTGTAACTGCCATGTGGGTCAGCTCTGCAGTGTTGGATTAGTGCTGTGCTACTGTCCCCTGTCCTGTCCTTGACCTTTTTTCTTGAACAGCTCCCCGGATTAGACCCAGCCCACCTGGCATACTTTTTTTTTTTTTTTTAATATAATTTTAAGTCACCTCATTGGGGATATTCATTACATCTGCAGTCTCTTCACCAAAAAAACTACAATATCAAATACAGATGATTTTTGGCTGCTAATTCATGTTAAGAGGTAGATATTCGGAAGCTATAGGTGGTCGATATGTGTTACCATAATATAATCGGGCAGGGCACTGCCGTTTGTAGCCCTCGATGTCGCTGGGTTTTGGTCTCCCTTTCAGCTTTCTTTCATCCAAGGAAGATCTGATTTCCTGCCTATGGCTTGGAAGCTTGACCACAGCCTCCTGGGAGCTGGAGAAGGCAAGGGGCTGGGCATTATTCAAGGCGTAAACTTCGATTGACTTTGTCTAACAGTGCCAGTATGGCTCATGCCCTCATGTCAGTCTTGTCTCCTACTGATGCCAGTTTCTGAGCCTTAAGGGGGACTTTGCTGACCAAATCAGACAGTTTCTTATTTTTTTTGCACTATTGGCTTAGGATTCAGCTTTTTAAGGTGTTTTAGGCCAAGGCTGGCCACCCACTTTGTACCTTCTAAAAAGTCTGTTGCTCTTGTGTTTATTTTTTCAAGGTGGATTTATGCCTTTAAAAAAAATCCTTTTTTCTCTCTTTCCTTTTTTTTTTTTTTTTTTTTTTTTTTTTAAGTTTTCTGTAGGGCGTATATGTGTGCCAGAGAATGAGAGAGAGAACGTGCACTGTGAGCCCTCAGGGGGCGTGGCTGTGCTGCAGTCCTCTTTCCTCCATTCTCCTCTCAGAGTTTCGGGCACGCATACACACATGCCCAGCATGGTTTTTCAAGCTGCTGGGTCCAGCACTGGAAACTCACCATTGACCATATGGCACCTAGCCACCCCCACCTCCATGCCACCTACTGACCCTTAGAAAAATGCTTTTATTGACATTTTAATTCTATTTTGAGAGGGCTGGATGGTATCACTTACTTTTAATGAGAAGTTTAAATGACCTGTTCAATAGTAACAAACACAACCCCTGCTAACGTTTATTGGGACTTAACTATATGCCAAATTGAAAACATCACATATGTTATCTTACTTGTTTACTTTGTCCAATGTTTGTGTATGAAGTTAGGACCCTGGTTTATAGACGAGGAAATTGGAGGGTGGAGAGGCTTCCTTGTCTGCAGTCGCATGGCTAACGAGCACATGAGCTGATGTTTCAGCTAATGGTAACTGTCTACCTTACTGTCTTTACTACCTCCTGTATTCTCATTCATCATCTTCAAGTCCTAAAAATCTGTCCTTGCGTTTAAAAAAAAATTTTTTATAAGTTTTGCCACAAGGCGTGTGTGTTCACCAGAGAGAGACAGAGACAACTGAGAGGGAAGGTGAGAAATCATCCCCCAACAGGGATGGCCACGCAGTCCCTTCTCCTTCATTCTTCTCTTGGGATCTTGGGCACATACGGCCAGCATGCTTTTCAAGCCACTGGGTTCAGGACAGGAACTGCCACTGACCATGTGAGAGTCCAGTGCCTTAACCACCACACCATCTGCTGGACCCAGTCATTGCCTTCTCTATGAGGGCAGCAGAGGGAGAACTAGGTATTTTTAACAGGGTCTTGCTATCCCAATCTGCAACCTGTTTAGGTTGGTCTGGGACGTGAACCCGGGCCTCCCATATGGCCACAGCCTCGCACAGTGGTGCTCTGCCACTTGTGTCACCACAGCTGGGCCCGCCTTTGCCTTTTTATCTCCAGTGCCTCCCCCTTATCTGAGTTCAGCCAAATTCTTGACATTTCTCATGGGAAGCTACGGTCATCGTGGCCTCGGTTTGCTTTTCAACCTTTGCTCTTGTTCTTCAGTTCATTGTCCATACTACAGCCAAGGTGGGCTTTACAAAGTGCAGGATCCCCTGCTCATGATGCTCTCTTCCCAAAAACGGCTTCTCATTGGTTTTAGGACAGAGATCACAATCCTCGATGTAGCTTGCAGGGGCTGGTTGATCTGGCCTGTGCCAGCCTCACTAGCCCTGCAGCATTTCTCCCACTGCTGTCTGCACCACAGCCAGACTGGCTTCCTGGCAGGACCTCATAATGGTGGGCCTTTATGCATTCTGCTTTCTATACCCATACAGACCCCCCCACACACACACACCCTTCTTTCTTAACTAACGCCTAATCATTCTGCAGATCTCGACTGAAATGTCAGAGTGTCAGAGCTGCTGCCTCTACCCCCAAGATTAGGTTACGTTCTTCTTGCTAGTTTATTGCTTCTGTAGATCACACCTTGTACGCTCCCTTTGTAGTACAGTTTTCATTCATTCACTTGATTATTTGTCTTCTTTCCTCCCACTTGAGTGTAGTGCTGTCACCGCAGGGGCCTTGTCTATTTTCTTTACTGGTGTATCCGCAACATCTGTCAATGATGGTTTGTACTTGCAATGCACTCACTTCCTGGCTGAGGCAATGAATGGGCCGTGAGGGAATAGTATCTATGGAGGTGTTAGGAGCTCTGAAGGACCGTGGTTTATTTTAGGAATTCTTATGTTGTTTTAGTGTGACAATAGAGAGTGGATGGTTGCATTTAGTTAGTGGGACATACTTTTTCTTTTTTTATAATTTTTTGTTTGTTTGTTTAAGTCTATTCGTGTATTTCTTTCTTGAGAGAGGGAGACAGAGAAAGAGAAAGATAGGCACCTCCAAGAAGGCTTCCATCCCATCCTCCCATGATCCTACCCCCACCCCGGACACACATGTGCGTGTGCAGAGGGAGACTTCAGGACG